CGGACTGGGCGGGCCACCGGGACTTCGGACCGAGTCCTGACCGAGGCCCTCCAAGTGCGTCCCCTCCTGGGCCGCCTGCGCACTGCGCAGCCGCAGCGCTGGGGAAACTGAGGCCCAAGGGTGTCCTGGAACTTGTTTCTCCTGCTCAGGGCCCCGGGTATGTGGGGGCGCCCGGGTCTGGAGCGGGGAGTTCCCCGCGGGCAGCTGGGGCCTAGTTACAGGGACTGCTGTTGGAGGAGGCAGCTCTGAAGTCGACGGGTTCTAGACATGTCAGGACTTTGCAGTGGCGTTAAGGTTCCACTTTCAGGCGGCTCTGTTGACTCAGACCAGCTGCCTCTGGTTTTAAATCTCCTAGATGCCCAAGAGAGGTAGGGGGCCCCTCCACAAACCCGCTACCTGGGCTCCCTGTCTTCTCCCTGCTGGCTAGCACCGGCCCTGAGCCTGGCCAGGCGCCTAGGTCCTCCGGAACTCACCAGATTGGGCTCTCCCAGCAGTTGGCCCCAAGTCCTGCTCAGAGGCCCATCCCCCAGAACTCAGTGTGAGGGGCCTCTGAGGAGCTGGGGCTTCCAAGTCGGTGGTTCAGCCCTCCATGCCCCGCCATGCCTCATGCGGGTGGAGCTGGGCACAGAGAGGGTGAGGACAGGCCAAGGACAGCTGGGACCAGGTGTGGGTGGGACACAGTGGGCGTGAGTGGGACACAAGGCTCTGCCAAGCTAGCCCGGCCCCGGGGGACGGGGTGCTTCTGATGGTGGCTCCTGGCTCCCACGCCCCTAACGCGGGCTGCCTGCTCTCTGCCGAGGTCCCTGGTTCTGGCCACTGGTGTGGTGTCCCCAGCCCCTGATGGTGACAGGTCCCACGCAGCCTCCAGACACCATTACATTGAAAGGTAGCACGGGCCCTTTCCCTTGGGCCCCTGCTCAGCTGGTTTACAAGGCGGTTCTTCATGTCAGTGACTGTGTGAGGGTCAGCGGATTCCCTGGGAGCCCTGGGGCAAGTGTGACCACAGAGGAGGGAACAACTTTCCAGTGATCAGGATGGGACTGGACACCGGGCGGGGACAGAGGTCAGGATTTAGCCGGACTCTGCGTCTTCAGAGCTGCACTTAAGAGATTCCAGGAGACTGGAAATGAGGCGAGGCCTCGCCCTCAGAGCCCCACTAGGGGTCTGGACCCCAGAGGCTGTGGCTGCCACAGTGAGGACCAACCTCGCCGGGTGGCGCCTTCTAGGAGCGCAGTGCAATGCGTCCAGCCCCAGGAGGATTCAACAAAAGTGGCAGTGAGGCCCTGGGGGAGCACTGGAAACAGGGCTGGCAGGGGCGGTGCCCGGAGCAGGGACGGCACCAGCAGGCCGAGGCAGCTGGGCCCGGAAACCCTGCCTGCGCCCACGGCGACGTAGGGCTGAGCGGCCCAGGAAGAGCTGGGACCACGGCCACCTGCCCTCACCCCTCTGGCTTTCGCCAGTCCGGGGCCTGAAGGCACAGACCCCAGGAAACCTGCCCCTGGGAGCGGCCCCAGCCACCTGCCCTGTATGCTCAGGGACTCGGGCCCACGGGGACTCACCATTGGCAATGCCGGTGACCGCATACGCAAGCAGCTCTGAGCTCCTGGAGGGTGGACCTGAGACCTGTCGTCCTCAGGGTCCCCACAAAGCAGCAGTCGCTGCAGAGCAGGCCCAGGGCTGAGGGAGGAGCAGATCAGGGGCTAGGAGGTGGTGGGCTCGAATCCAGGCTCCAGCCCCTAAGAGGGGTAGGGGCCCCTCCTCGCTTTAAGGCCTGGGGGGCTGTAGGTTCTCAGGGCTCCGAAAGGCAGGGGGTCCTTTGGTATCTGGAGCCTCCCCTCCACCCCCACCTGCGTCCCCTCCCCATCGTCATCTCCTGCATTGGGGTGCCCCCCCACTCGCCATGCTTGGAGCATAGCAGCTCAAGGCCAGCAACCTTCATGGTCTGGACTCTGAATGTGAGGGAGGGTGGCTGCCACAGTGTAGGGGCTCAGGGTCTGGGGAGACACCAGGCTGAGGCCCTCACCCCAGGCCAGAAACCCCCACCCACATGGGTCTCAAAATACCTTGTGCCCCTCGGGTCTTCATCTTCCCTGGGGTCTGTGGGCCACAGCTTCCACCTCGGCTTTATGTCCCCACCCCCAGGATGGCAGAGAGCTCACCCACCTGATGGGGTGCTGGGCAGGAAGATAGGATGGGAGGGCCGCCCAAAGGGAGGAGAAGGGGGAGAGAGAGGGAATATTTGAGGAGGTTGATGAGCTAACACCTGCAACAGCCCCCAACCGCCTGTGTGGTCTGGCCAATTAAAATTAAGCAGAATAATTACAGACCCAGGAACTTGAGATTTTGGGAAATCCTCTCATTTGGAGCATGTGCAGAACCCCCATACCCTTGACCCACAGTAACCTCATGGCATGGCCATATCATAACCTAGTTAGCATTTCGGTTCCAATTCAGTTTTATGTCAAACCAATTGAACATGCTCAGAAGGGTTCTCAGGGACCTGTCACTCAAGGGACTCAACCCCGCCTTGAGGATGTCCCTTTTCGCCTTTTAGGAAGTATAAAGCCAGTAAGGGAGCTCTGGTGGCCTAGTGCCTAAGGCACTTGACTGCTAACCAGGAGGCTGGCGGTTCAAACCCACCAGCTGCTCCTCGGAAGGAAGGTTGGGCAATCTACTTCCGTAGCAATACTGCCTTGGAAACCCAAGGAGGGGTCGCTATGAGTCAGATCCGACTTGACGGCACGTAGCAACAATGTCTGCAAACACGTAGTGTCCCGTGCGCCTGGGCCAGGCCCCCACGGTTTCAGGGGCAGGCACCAGACGGGGTCTCAGGGTGGCCCATCCTTCCCCTGGCAGCCTGCTCCCTGGTGTGCTTCTCGTGTAAGGACCAGAAGAGCAATTTCTACTGCCTGAAGCCGACTGTGTGTTCCGACTCGGACAACTACTGTGTGACCATGTCCGCCTCGGCCGGCATCGGTGAGGACGTGGGGGCAGGCTGCGTGGGCTTGGGCCGCGGCTTTCCACTGACGGCCTTGTTTCTGTGCAGGGAACATGGTGGACCTGGGCCGGACCCTGAACAAGGGCTGCTCGCCGATCTGCCCGGGCGCCAGCATCGACCTCGGCGTGGTGGCCATGGGCACCCACTGCTGCCAGAGTTTCCTGTGTAACATCAGTGCGGCGGGTGGGGGACCGCAGGTCAGCGCCACTGTGCTGGGCCTCGGGGTCCTGCTCAGCCTGCTGGCAGCGCTGCTGCGGCCCAGCCTCTGACCCCTGGGGCCCTGTGCCCCCGACACCCCAGCTCAGGAAGGAAAGCCCAGACCCCAGAGGGAGAGCCCCATCCCCTCTGACTCCCACCCTGCCCGTCCCGCCTCAGCCCAGGCCCGCAGGGCCAAGCCCCACCCTTGCACCTGTCCTCACTTCCGGGGAACCGACGTGACCTTCCTCCGGGCCCTGGAAGAGGTGAAGGTCCCCTTGGGATGGGCTCAGAGGGACACCTGAGGCTCAGGCCCTGTCCACTCCAGGTCAGGCATGCCAGGCATGGAGTCTGTGTGAGCGTGCACGCGAGTGTGCATGTGAGAGGGTGAGCATGTTTGTGAGGGGGGCGACCAGGGACCCTCAGGTGTGCACAGATGCCTGCACAGGTGTGGGTGTGCCCCTTGTCTTTGGGCGGAGTGAGTATGTGGGGGTCGGCTTGGGGTAGGGGGTGCCACCACCCAAGACCCTTTTCTATGGCATCTCCACCCAAGGTAACCTTTTGGGGGGGCACTGCTTTCGACCCAGGAATCTGCTCCCACCCACACATCTGCCTGAGCCCCTGCACGCCCCGCCTCCTCCTCCCTACATCCTCCCCCACTTGAGCCCCAGTTTCCTTGGTGCCTCAAATAAACATGTTCCCACCTCTTCTTGCTCTGTCCCACTGCATGGCCACCCTGCTTGGAGCCCCCCCCACAGGGGCCAGTCCGGGAGGGGCCAGGGTCCCCTCTGGCCCCTTTGGGGGTGGTGATGGTAGAGACTGGTCTGGTCTGTCCTCTCTGCCGTGTTTAGACGTTCTGCTGCAGGGCGGGGCAGTCTCCAGGAGCTACGTTCCTGCTGGGACCCCTCAGAGGCAGGAGTGGGGCTGGACAGGAGGCCAGGGCCAGCTGGGATGGAGGGTGTGTGTGGAAGGCCGGGGGCGGTCTACCGCATGGTGGCTGTGGGATCTTGGATGGGCCACTTCCCCTTCACAGCCCTTATTGTGGAAACAATAGGAAGTGGGCAGGTGACCTTGGGGTCACAGTGTGTTCTCACAGCCTCTGGTGTGGCCCACACTGAGAAGACAGGAGCAGTGACCAGAGGGACGAAGGGGCTGTCCAGGGACCAGGTACGCCGTGGTGGCTGGCCCCAGCCCTCACACAGCCCAGGTCCTGGAGTGGAGCTGAAGGTCTGAGCCAGGCTGGCTGCCCACCCAACTGACTCAGGCCGGCTAGAGCTGGGCACTTGTGGCCCAGCAGTGTGGGACAGTGGTCACCTGGAGACGAATTGTAGTGCTGTCTCCAAAGTTCCTTGGGACCAGAGAGGGATGAGGTGGGGCTTCACAGGGCACCCCGCATGCAGCGTGCAGCGCCCTTGTTGCTCAAAAGGCGTCACCAGCAAGTGTGGCCATGCAGTGAGGGTGTGGGAACCCGGCAGAGACCAGTCCTTGAGCCCCAGGGGAGGAGCACACCCCAGACAGACTGACAGGAGCAGGGTCTGCCACGGGAAATCAGGAGCCTGGGGCACCTGAGAAGACCCCGGGTGGGGGTGGAGGGAGGGCCGGGCAGAGCAAGCCCCTGGGAAAGGGTGGGAGCGGTCAGAGTGGGGACTGTGGTGGAGGCTTCACGGCCAGTGAGAACGGTCTGGTTCACTGGAGCGGGTCACAGGAACTAGGAAAAACCGAGAAGGCGGGTGGGAGAGGCCTGCCTCCTCAGGGACGCGTCAGCTCCCTCGTGGCAAATGAAGTCATTGGGGAATTGTGCCTGGGGTCCCACTGAGAGGAAGCTGCCCCCGGGGATCTGAGGGACCAGAACCTGGGAACACAGCAGCCACCAGGGTAACCCTGAGGACGTGGGCAGCCACCAGGGTGAGGCCAAACCAGAAAACCAGACTTGCTGCCCTAAAGTCAATTAAACTCATAGTGACCCCTCCTTGGGTTTCTGAGGCAGGATCACTACAGTAGATTGCCCAACCCTCCTTCCGAGGAGTGGCTGGTGGGTTGGAACCGCCAGCCTTCTGGTTAGCAGTCAGATGCCTTAGGCACTAGGCCATCAGCCAGCCAGGGGGCAAGAATGTGCTCTAATTGCAGCTTGTGGGGCTGGGCTCCAGTGGAGTCCAGATTCCTTACACTTAGGTGGGAATGGGGGTGGAGGTCATTTCTCAGGAAAATTGAGGCCAGGAGCAACCAGCCCTGCAGCCTCCTCTACCCTGGGTTGCCCGGCAGAGTCTTTTCAGGGATAGGGGCGGGGTGGCCAGAGCAGCCCGACCTCCTGGGGGCTGGTGGTGCAGCCTGCTTCCCGCTGCCCCGTCCCAGAGGAGAGCTCGCTGGAGGGCGCCCCGAACCGGAGCCCAGGAGCCTGGCGACCTGGGGGCTGGGGGTGGGGTCCGGGGGAGGGAGGAGCCCAGAGCCCTGAGTTTCCATTTCCCAGCAGCCCTGGGGACTTTCTTTTTCCTAAAATCTGGGCGGGGGTGTGTGCGCAGCAGAGCTGGGGCCTTTCCCTCCCCGCCCAGGACACCCTGGAGGACCTGAGACCGGGGACCTGCGGGAAAGGGAGGCTGCGGGAGGGCAGGGTCAGGAAGTGCTGACCCCGGGGACCGGGAGCCCGGGGCGAGGCGCGGGCAGGGCCGGGAGCTGGTTCCAGGTGCGCTTCCGGGCGCCCCCATCTCCCGGGAGAGTCGTTCCCTCCTCCGAGGGGGCGGGGACTCTCATTTCCCGGAAGGGGAAACTGAGGCTGGGAGCTGCAGCACCTGGCCGCCCCGCGTTTCTTCCGCTCTGGGTTGGGGAGCAGAGTCCTTTAGGGGCGGTGGGGGGCAGGTC